ATTTTCGCTGTATATTTTCGCGAATTTGCGATCAAATTCTGTTCACATTTGTTGTTGTTTTCAATAGCGTGGAGTAGCGATTCTCCGATTGGTTAATTCACGATTGTTGAGAGAACTGCACATTTCATCAGTAATTTTAATCAAGTTAATCCTCGTTTCACTGTAGTAATTTCATAAAACAATTACCAAATGGTTTTCCCGTGCAGGATAGCATGATCCATGCACTTGGGATGTTGCTCGACTTTCGGAAAGCGTAAAAATACACTCGCCTACGGCTCGTGTATTTGCACGCTTTCCGAAAGTCTCGCAACATCCCGCGTGCATGGGATCACGCAATCCTGCACGGAAAACCATTCGGTATTCCTTTATTATAAGTCCTTGCTCTGAATGAGAAATTCGCTTATGAAATGTGCTTATAAAAAGCTGCGGTCAAAGTTTTATAAATTTATCAGGCAAACGTGATCTGTTACTAAGTATGATCTTTAAATGTCCAGGTATTTTCAAAGAGATTTCGCCCGCAAACAATAAGTATCAGTTTGCGGTTACTGTTTCGAACAGTCACGAACTATATATTTCTTAATCAATATACAGTTTGTTACCTAATTTAATCTGATTATATATACGTTGATTTAATTTAATTTATATGCATGCAGTAATATGATACGGTGTTGCATGATTCATGGTAATCGAACAGTGAATAATTTAGTGATTTAGTATTGCACGTGGAAACAGTTTATGTCTGCAAGACAAGTAGCTTCAAGCTGTGGAGATCATACTCTTCAGGTTTGGTAAAATGCTAGTTGGTAGTGAACGTTCAGTCTTTTACTTTCCAGTCAATTATTAATGCAATCTAATCAAATCCAATCACTTTTAGAATGTATTATTAAATATATAAAAGTTGAAGATGCATGTTTTGTCCATTGGAAACAGTTACTTTCTTTGACGCGAGGACCTATATGACGTATGCGATTACACATTTTGTCAGCGGTACAGGTAATTATAATATAGGTTAGTAGTGGCGATTCTTTTTGGATGCTTTCGACATTATAGTCTCATAATGTTTATTTACTATCATGCATACAGCCATTCTTGGTTCTGTGATATGTATATCATCACGCATGGCTGAACGCACCCCACTTTACCTCAACCCACACCCTGACCCTGACCCACATGACCCTAAGCATTGCCCCCACTCACCCTAACGGTGGTGGATCGCTAAGAACTCCACGCTGGCGCAACCTACCCCAACTTCAAGGTCATCATTACCTTTATAGGATAAAGTCTAATGATGCAACAATTAATTAGAAGCAATTACCGTAATATGAACAGCCGTATGATGATATACACTAGGAGATAAGGGACAATCCTGACTTTCGACAAACATTTTTCATTTTTCGGCTTAATTACAAAGGTACGTAAATTCCATGTTTATTTGAGTTATATATATAGTTGGATTACAGCTCTTTTCCAATATGTTGTAGAGTGGACACCCTTGCATATGGGTAACATTTTCAAAACATTAAGGTCACAAAGAAATCGCGGACCAATAAAATGCCTCAAACATGCCAACTATGGTATAGTCTTAAACATCACATATGGGCTTTTCTCATGTGTCAGACACGTTGGAATTAAAACGAGGCCAATAACGCACGAATCGCAAAATAGCGGAGGCAACTGAAGAAGCTCCCGTCAACTTTCACGCTGTTTCGCCATGTTGCAGTCTTCTTTGTGTTTATTTCCCTCGGTTTTCATCAGGGCCGTAGCGAAGGGGGTATTGGGGGGGGGGGTTACCCCCCTCCCCAACTTTTTTAGAATTAACATATTCGGAAAATCAGGTTGGTCATTCGGAAAATTACGGCAGTAATAGTATAACAAAATTATAGTTGCTTAAACAGAGAAAATATTATAAAATTGTATTGTCAGCATCATAAACTGATTTACATAATCACGGCATTTACATGGATAACATTTAACAAATCGTAGATCGGTAAATGTTTTTCGGTTTATTACTTCCCAGGGCCGTAGAAACGGGGGGGGGAGGGGAGGGGGCAGTCCTCAATATATCTTTAAAATGCTGACAATCGATTAATTTTAAGCGGCTACATTACCCATGACAATCCGCAAAGAATCGTATTACCCATATACGCCTTCGCCCATTTAGCTCTTCTAAATTGTAAGCAAATTAATTGTAAATTTCGACGTGCTAAAACTCTGTTTTCTGACCATCAGAATTCTGTCAAAACTTCCCCCAAAGTCCACGAAATGGCATTTCAGAGACTCTAAATTTAAAAATTTCCTCAGGCCTGCGGCCCTCGCCACCCCCTATCAAAAAGAACTTCATACGGAACTGCACGCTTCTGTACGGAACTGCATGCTTCTGTAATGTCTGTGCGTGAAATATGAGTACTTTTGTTTGTAAATTGCGTTTTCATTTACCGGATAGCAAACACCTTCGTGGCTTCGCATGCCATGAAATATTCGGAAATTTTTTCCGTCATTCGGAAATTTTTGGCTTACACCCCCCCGCCCCCCTCCCCTCCCCCCCCCCAACTATGCATGCTTAGCTACGGCCCTGGTTTTCATTCCAACAGGGCTGACACGTGAGCATAGCCTATTGCTGATTTGCATATAACATGTTAATTAAAATTAATAATTAAAATTAGTAATGCATGCAAAAGATCGACACGTGAGAACAGTTGCATGGCTGCGTGATTAACCAAAATTTCTTAGAACTTTGAAACACTTCGAAGTTCTGCACTTCACTGTAGTGAGCCATCAAGCATTCGTGGCCTTGATGAATCTCATTATTGAATCGCATTTAGTTCATACAGCCATTCAAATATAACGCAACCGAATGGAAACATAATAGGGCGCGCAGCCCAATTTCCTTATATCTTCCAGTTCCTTACGATTTGCTACAATTTAGAATTTGCAATTAGAGTGGACATAAAATATTCTGTTTTTGGACAGTGGGTTTATCCAAAATTGGCACGGAGACTCCGTTTGCCCCCTTTCCCCCTAAGATTTGAGAAGGAGCTTTCTTTTAGAAAAGGGTGAGTAATTTTCTTGTTTCTATAAACTATAAAGTGTTTAATACAATACAATATTTATTACACTCAAGAAATTACAGATTCAATGATATCTAAAATTACAATTACAGTTGATTACAAAAATAACGAATAGTGTAGCCATCTGAAATAACCATGGGGGCTAATCTAGTCAGATGACTTATAACAATGATATGAAAAAAATATGTTTCAGTAGACAGAAATTAAAGTGTATAGTGACATTTTAATATTAAACTGTCACTAAATTTGCACGTTTTTAAAATTAATTAATACATTAAAATGAAAAGAGCTATAAAATACATTAATTTTCCGATAAATATGATAATGAATTATTATATAATAATCATTCGAACAGAAACCCATTGACGCGCACAGTTAAAAATGGTGAGCGAACGAGAAACATAATTGTTTGCACTTATAATTGAAATTTATAACCCAAGCTATGGCGCAAAACATCCAGACAAACGGTCGCACGGAATATTGGGCAGAATCAAATTTGGGAAAACGTAGACATCATATCCCAGAATGCATTGCGAGTATCTAATATATACACTGATTGTCGATAAACGCATTTTCAAAATTGCTCAATTTAAGATAAACTTTGCCGAAAAACAGGTGCATGAAGTACTTAAATTTTGTGCTCCGAAAATATCTATGAAAATTTACATATCACCTTTCAATATATATTGCTATATTTTGCTGATATAATAACACTAGATATCAGAGGGAAATTAACTATTCAGTCTCAGGACTGGATCAAACACCATGACAATTATAACTCTAAGGAAATACAAAATAACAGTACCTCCGAATAACATTTTGATTAAAAATCAAATCGGAGATACTGTTATTTTGTATTTTCTTAAAATACTGAGTGGTTCCTGTAATTATAACTTTATGTAAGAGTTATTCGGTAATTTCAGTAGCTTTAAGTAGGAGTTATACTGAGAGTCATTCCAGTCCAAAAGCTCAAAGTTGAACTGTAGAGTCCTCTCTCAGTTAGCTGGATAAAACAGACGACGTTACAGAGGCTGAAGTAATATTACTCGGACTTGAAATCCCGTCCAGTTCTCGGATTCGAAAAATCATTTCTTCAATCTTGAGTCGCGGCAGGTGAATCAAACAACAAAATGCTTAACGTGAAAGTATCGCAGTTTTAGGCATATACTTAGCGTTTTCGTGGCTGCGCTAGAGGTTATAGTGAGCCAGGGAGCAACGCTACGTACTTCCATATATAGTTTTGCGTCTAGCGCCAAATTAGAAGGTCAAAATATATGCGCTTCAGAAATTTGAATCAAGTGAACTCTAGACCATATGAAGGACGTGAAGCTGCTATCATCTAAATCTTGAGTAAATGGCTATCAAACTCCAAAACAGTCTAAATTAAAAATAAGGTTAAGATAGCAATAGCTATCTTTATTTATTTTTTAGACTATCACAGGATCTACCGAGAGATCTACCTAGATCTACCAGATCTATCAGGATCTACCAAGTGAGCTCCATATAGTATCTGGAGCATATACATAATTATATAGAGCTCACTGGATCTTCCTGAGTCCTACACTATAGTCAGAGTTTCATTTCAAGACCAAGTTTCGTCCCCAGGCTACTAGTTGTGGTTCGCTTCGTGGTCCTAGACCCCACGTTTACTTCCATTCAAAGATTGGAACTCCACAAAATTAAATTCTACAGGCATTAGCGGGTTCAAATTAATTGGTTTTTCCAACACACCATGGTTATATATTTTTCCAAAGCTTACGATCCCTAAACGGAATTTTCATTAGTGAAAATTAACTGACGAATCGGAAGCTTTGCAAAACAACAACTCAAAAACAAGTCCATTATATTTATCGCAACGTATTAAGCTAGATGAAGTAGATACACTCGTCTCTCCCAAAGTGTTCAATTATGAATAACATCAAAAGGATAAACCGCTGTATGTTAGTTATCTTAGTTTAATTAGTGAAGTCAATTAACCTGTAAGACCATACGTTCAGCAGAGCCCAGTGT